GTGTAAACGTGTAGGACGGACGTTCGGTGCCACTTTCCCGTAGCCTAGAAGTTTGACGATGGTGTTTGGAATGTCGAGCGTGATTCCACCGACTATCCAAACACCATTGTCAAACTTTTAGGCTTACGGGAAAGCGGCGCCGAACGTCCGACCTACACGTTTACACGTTTAAAACGTCTGCCTCAACCTCTCTATTGATGGCGCGTATAATTGAATTATGTCGTATACCGAGAAAAATTTGTTTCGTCCAAACACGACGTATTCCAAATTGGACGTATTCTAAAGCAGATGTATACCGAGGTACCACTGTAATTCAAACACTACTGTTTTTTTAAAAATAATTTTCAAGTTTATAAATAAATAATTTCAATTACGCAATATGTTTTTTTTACTTCCTAATATTTTTTCCCTAACCTTAATGGATAATTCACATTTTAGTAAAGAGACTGAGATTTCCGCCACAAGATTTTACAATACAGCTAAACGTAGCTAGCCGCATTGTAAAACGCGATGTATAATGACAATCGGGCTGAACGTTAGTTAGCTTTATTACAAAATGGCTAAACGCTTTGTAATGCGGCTAAATTAACAATCCAGCTGCGACAGATACATAACAAGGAAAATATTGGAATTGTATCAAATTTGACACTCCCGGTTGGTTGGTTTTCTTGTGTGTGTTCAGATCTATTCCATTTAATATCTCAGGATGATGTAAAGATTAAGAAACAAAATTTGGCCCGGTGGCTTGTGTACAAGGGACATACATTGATGCTATTAAATTTTGGTGGTTGAAAGTCGAGGGTATGAGGAGATAATAGGTAATCACGTGTCATATCGCGGGAGGGTTCGGACTTAATGAAGATTTTACTAGTTATTAACATTTATAACTTCTTTAAAAATAAAACTCGTCTCTACCCCAAAATTACGCGTTTTGCCATTTTATAATAATTAATATAAATTTTTTATAAGAAAATTTCATAACAGATNGCCAAATGATATTTTTTACGTCAAACAAAAAAAGTAGCCACATTTGGTGCAATGTAGCCAAATCTTGCAATGTTGGAAAAAATACTAAATAAAGCAAAGGATTATAGACCCAAGTGCAGGGAAAGGAGAGAAAGGGCAAAAGATAAAAAAGTGAGAAAGGTTGGAAAATTAAGGGTCAACAGAAGATCTATTTAATCTTTCTCACTACTACATCTTTTGTCCTTTCTCATCTTTCCCTCCTTTTCCCAAATTTGGGTCTATAATCCTTTGAATCACAACTCCAGCTTTATTTAGTAATCTTTCTGCATTCACACATCTCCAAGTATTTGAAAATATTTTCTTTCCACTCAAAAATAAAATATGAGTAAAGGTTTACNTCCTAAGGATTTATTCACTTTACAAGCACAAATTTAATCGCTTTCGATGTTCTTGTAAGAAAGGATATCACGTAGCCAAAGCGAAAGTAGCACTACGATTGACATCAGCGCCACCTTGTCTGTGACGTCACTAACCTCGATGTATGGACCGAACGGTTATAATGGAGGAATATAAGCGCTTTCGACACTATATTTTCTAGCCACTGTACTCGAGACTACCGATTATGTGAATCGTAGTAACACGAGTGAGTTCGATGACGTCAGTTCGAGTACAACACGAAAAACTCGAGACTAAGGGCCCTGCAGTGTATGCATGCACGCGGGCTGCCAAATCCCGAGGGTGCCGATACCGGTCAATGTCAAATGTCTGTTTAGTCGCATCACTAGTATATCTGAAAGAACGCGACAGGGTTGTTGTAAATTTTAAACGTTTCTCGCCATAGCTGTATAAATCTAAATATGTTAAACTTAATAAATTGTCCGTCATTTGTTTACTAACTAATTCGTTTTAGGACCAGGTGTTGTCCACGGAAATTTCCAAAATTTACAACTTTTCGGTCACTCTCATTGAACTGGAAAAATTTCTGTCTTTATTACATCTAATATTTCGAAGAAATCAGTCCCCACTGTACTCGGATAGAGATTGGGTCGGTTNTAAAAATAGCATAAGATATTCTTTACTTTTTAAATATTAAAACAATCCACTTAGTTAAAAGTGCTCCCTATCAGTGACTCGTGGATGGAATCAGACGATCTTGGTAGGTGTGCGGTGCATGCATGCCAAATCCCGAGGGTGTCGATACCGGTTAACATCAAATGCCTCTTTTGTCGTATCACTAGTATACCTCAAAGGACGTGACAGGACTGTTGTAGATTTTAAACGTTTCTCACCATAGCTGTAAAAATCTAAACATGTTAAACTTAATAGTCATTTGTTTTCTAACTAATTTGTTTTAGGACCAGGTGTTGTCCACGGAAATTTCCAAAATTTACAACTTCTCGGTCACTCTCATTGAACTGGAAAAATTTCTGTCTTTATTACATCTAATATTTCGAAGAAATCAGTCCCCACTGTACTCAGCTATAGATTGGTTTGGTTA